AACATAAAGATTAAAGGATGCCAAAATAAGCATAAGAAAAAAACTAAAGAGAAAAGGAGTTTACAAGCTGCAAGGTTTTATTTATAAAAAGATGTTTACCAAATTCTTTTGTGTTGAAACATCTTGCACTTAAGTTATTCCGTAGAGCTTTCCTGCAATGAAAAAATTTCATATCGAAAGAGTCTTTTGAAATTAAAAATGATTTAAACGTAAAAGATAGGAAGAAGAAAAGAACATCAGTATTTTAATGTTTTAACCCAAAGTTCCAGTGAAATTCTAACTGGGCTAAATCTCTGAAATTGAAAAAAAAACTAGACATCAAGTGATTAGGATGAAGTGACGAGAAGAAAGCAAAAGGAAAGAATGTTTAGAAAGAAGATGAATGTTAGAGGCGAAAGACATTGTCGTTGGAGTCGCAGGTGATATGAAACCAAATACAAGAATGTCTTTGGGATCAGAAAGCCTTCCGCTGAAAGCATAAAGAGCCTCTCCTACGAATTTCAAATAATCTCACATCAAACCCAGTTTTATGATGAAAACAAAAAGAGTTTGAGCAAAGAATCAAAATACCTTCGGAATATGAGATGGAAAAGAGAGGACATTGGAGAAAGATCCATAAGACACAGAAGAACTGCAATGTAGATATATTTCATTTGTGTATGTGACAAGAGACAATAGACACCGACCCTTTAAATAAGAGAAATATTGTGACCTCTTATTTTTCATTAGAATTAAATGGAAATAACCCTTTCAAGTGGTAACAGCATTTGGTAACTGAATTTATAATTACTAATTGTTACTGAACTTATAATTATACTTTTAACTGAATTTTGCTTTTTATTGGGCAGTTTATGTTCCTGTTTAAAGATAGACTACTTGTTTGAAAACCTGCTAAGTCAAGTTAATGCATGAGTGGACGATTGATTTTTCTTCTGAGCCCAGGTTGCGGGTTAAAATCCAAGGAAAAGGGGAAGGGAGAAAAAGCAAAAAAAAGGCAGGGGGACACGGGGGGGATTGCAAACTTCATAAATATATTTTTTATATTAATAATCTGAAATAGATTTGATCCATATCTAATAATTTGTGAATATATTTAATTACCTCCTATCAAAAAATAAGTTATAAAATTGTTTAGATTGTATACAATCATTAAAATGTTAAGTGAATGTGCCATTTAGATTATATAATGAAAAAAATATATTTTTCGATTATGCTGATATGAAAACATATTTTGAATCGGAATATTGTAAGGAATTAAAAAAGGAAAAGGAGAGATTTGTAACCTGCAATGAACAAAGAAATGAATGAACTGGATCATAAATTTAAGAAGGTAGTGGAGGTGGAAATTGTTTTTTTCATTCGTTAAGGGCCGCACGCGCGTAATGCGATAACCGTAATAAAAAATTTTGGATGATTGTAAGAAAAATCTTCTCTTTTTACGGGGTCGGGTGGTCCATTCTTTTTAATCAGTAAAATTATTGCAATACTTCGAATGTCTTTGATTTAAAGTCATGTTGTATCAGATGGTTAAAGACGAGAGAAGAGAGAGAGAGAGAGCGCGAGGAGTGAGAGAGAGAGAGAGAGAGAGAGATATATATAGATATAGATATATAAATATATATATAATATAATACTGTGGAGTGTAATCTATTCTTGCTATTTATAAACCACGAATTTTTTATTATTTTGGTTGAGTAATTTACAATTTAAACATAATAATCATGATTAATCTTTCAAATAAGATAATTTTGGAGTTGTTATGTTTTTATTTAATGTGATTTTTGCAGTCAGTATTTGGATAGATTCTCTTTATAAAGAGTTAATTGTTTGGTTAATAATTAACCGGATGAATATACTATAAAAAAGTAAAAACTTTAAATTATGTAATTTATAATATATTTTTAAATTTCAAATTGTATTTCACAATGCAATCCAAATTTTTTCAAATGCATGAGTAATTTGAACTTTTCCCGCACTTCAGAGACTAGGAAAGAAATTTTGGAGATGCTAAAAGAAGACCAATAGTGGAACAATCCTAACAACTAATTCAATGAAGAAAGTAAAGAAAAAAATCACTACAAAATTTTCATTCATACTCTTTGTGCTTACATCTTTCTAGTCCCAAATAATCATAGCAAGCTAAAACACAAATTGAAATTCATTTGTGATATAAATTTTATGTGAAAAAAAAATATGTTTTTGAGGATAATTTTGAAAAAAAAAAAAGATTGATTGGTGATACAATTGGAAAAGAAAGAAAAAGACAATGAATTCAACTCACATTTAACATAACATCAATGACTAATTTTATCGATACAGAAAAATCGGATGATAAAAAAACGTTAAAAAGAAGAAAAGTATTAAAAACTAATGGATTTGAATTAGCATTGTAAATTCTAAGGTCTTATAAATTTTTTGTCGTGAATTTGGAGGTAAATGAGAGTGAATTTGGAAATAAAATTTGTGAGAATTAGTATAGAATTGTATTGACGTGACAAATTAAAAAAAATTATTTCCAAATTCACTCTCATTTACATCCAAATTCACTTAAATAAACGACAAAAAAATTTATGTTCAAATCCACTTCCTCATATCCACTCAAAAGAACAAAACCTAAAAGTATCTCAAGTCAACTCTCCAACTAATTTTTTGTTGAATGTTAATAAATCAAACATGCACTAAGAAATTAGATGGAGCATCATAGACAATGTGAGGTTGTTATGACTTTTAATTTTACTATAGCTTATGTCAAAACTATCGTAAATCATGGTTTTACACTATCATATGCATTAAAAAGATTTCAGGGGAATCAATTTTAAAGAATAATATTAACTATTTAAAGTTAGGAGTGCGACTGAAGTGTTCAAATTGGTCTATACAATAATGCTAAAATTTATTTAATATGTTTTAAATTAAAAAAAAACATTTTGAAGAATATGAGAATTGCAATCAAACACGTAAAGCATGCATTCATGCAACGCAAGGAAGGGTGTTGAGAATGGCAGCTTGATTCATTAGAGTGAGAGTGAATAAAAATTAAACGCGTAAAACTCATAAGATTCTTGCGTTTAGAGAATTCATGTTTGAAAGGAAAACAAAACTCAACTGTAAATCGTGATTATTTTAGAGGGCAGAAAGGTAATAGCGCGTGTTGCCCATGGGACTTTGAGTGAGAAATAAAAACAAACACTTGGGTGGCATTGCATGGAAACATCAACTGCAGCATAACCCTTTCAGCTTATCCGCAACAGATTTATCAATGGAATACTGCCATGGAATGAGCAGAGAAAATTAGATGCAGAATCAATGAAAATAGTATATATATTGTAGGAAAAGGGAATAAAGGAACCTTGTGAAGAACCCAGAGAGAGTGATCGTAGGTGCGTTGAAAGAGGTGAGAGACTTCAGAAGGATCGATTTCACGGTAATTGACAAAGTTCTCGCGGACATACTTGGCGTAGTAAGCCCTGGTGTCCTTTGGCAAGAGCCTCACCAGCCTCAGAACCTCTGCGTACGCTCTCAAAGCTTTCTCCATCGTCTTTTCACTCCTTTTCAACTACTCAGCCAATGTCTTATCTTATCATATAAATACTTTTCACTTTATTTTAAAATTAATTGTAAATGTATGACGCAGAACAATACCTATATATAGGAAATGGAATTGCATTTATGTCTTTCTCTCATCACCGTTCTACTTTGCTTACTTTATCGGTGACTCTGGGTGGGATTTACAGTTGAAGGGTGGCTGCGATGGAAGCGGAAGCGCGTAGAAGTTCGGACTTGAAGATTAGGTTCAGAGAAGAAGGTGGGAAGCACTGGACTGATGCGCTTCCCATTGGTAATGGACGCCTCGGAGCCATGATCTGCGGCCGCCTCCATTCCGAAACCATCCACCTCAACGGTAGTCTTCATCTTCATCTTCATCTTCATCTTCACCGATTGCCATTCAGACTGCACAATCAATACATGTTTTAATGCTTTATTGTTTTGCTTCAGAGGACACGCTCTGGACCGGAACACCCGCGGACTACACTAATTCTAAAGCTCCACAAGCCCTTTCTCTGGTTAGAAATCTCGTTAACCGTCAACAATATCCACAAGCCACTGCTGCTGCTTCTGCCTTAACAGGATCAAATCCATCCGAGGTATGTAACACCCTTTTCTTTCTCATTTCCCTTTCAGATTCGCCCCTCATTCTCGTCTGAATTATGATGCCTAGGCCTACCAACTTCTCGCCGATATCAAATTGGACTTTGATTATTCACATCTCACCGGCGCCCAACAAACTTACCAGAGGGAGCTGGACTTGGATACTGCTACTGTCAAGGTCAGCTATTCCGTTGGAGATGTTCAGTTCAAAAGGGAGCATTTTGCCTCCTATCCAGATCAAGTCATTGTCACTAACATTTCCGCCACTCAAAAGGCCAGACTTTCA